TTAAATATTTGTTTTCACAATCCTCTTCGTTCGTCTTGGAATGACAATCCAGTCTCATTTCTCTCTGATACGTGAAAAGATTCATTGCTTGGAGATAATGTCCTCAGGTACGTGTCTAGAAGACTTTACATCCATTTAAACTACGATTGTAGAAATTTTAACATGTCAACGAGTCCTCTCATTCACCGTTTTCCTGGGCTTCATGATCCATCACATGCTCCGAGTCAACATTTCAATCGCAATAGTTGAAATGGTCTTCAGGAATAATTCCAACGTCACTCAAGAAGACCACGGTCCTCGCTACGACTGGGACGAGGAGGAAAAGAACGACATTTTAGGCTACTTCTTCTGGGGTTACGTTATAACCCAAATTCCAGGAGGAAGACTTTCCGAGAAACTAGGAGCGAAGATAGTCGTAGGAACTGGTCTTCTGAGTGCCAGTATTTTGACGTTGCTCACACCCGTAGCAGCCCATATGGGCTACCTTTGGCTCGTCGTGGCTAGATTTTGTCTGGGTGTGTCCTTAGGGATACACTGGCCTTCGACGCCCCCCATTGCCACGAAATGGATAGCACCAGCTGACACTGCAACCTTCATGTCCCATATGACCGCTAGTTCTCTGGGAGTCGCCGTGACGTTGCCGGTTTGTGGCTACTTGATAGCTTACTGGGGCTGGGCTAGCGTTTTCTACGTCACGGGAAGCGTAGCTCTGACTTGGTCCCTGTGTTGGTTCTACTTGATCTACGACTCACCTGAAGAACATCCAAGGATAAGCACCACCGAGAAGGAAAAACTTCGACTGGAGATAAAACCTGTCAACACGTCACTGAAGAAACCACCAATTCCTTGGATGAAAATGTTGACTTCAGGTCCTGTGTGGTCGGTGGTAATGGGCAACACTTGTGCTGGGTGCACGTTCTTCGTGGCTTTCAACCAACTACCGACCTACATGAGTCACGTGCTCCATTTCAACATCAAAGCGAACGGATTGTTTTCCAGTTTGCCGTATTTAGGTAAAAAGTGCAGTTTGTGTTAGACCCAACTAATTGTCAATTTCTAGTTAGGTACTTCGTGTCGCTAGTCTCGTGCATAACCGCCGACAAGCTCAAAAAAAACGATAAATTTTCGACCACGACCATCCGCAAATTTTTCAACGTTTCGTTCTTCGTGGGGGCTGGATGTCTCTTCACGGCGCAAGCGTTTTGGGGCTACAGCGGGATAGTCTCTGTTGTTGTTTTCACAGTATCTTTGGGTTTAATGGGTTTCGTTACGGCGGGAGTTTACACAAACCCTGTTGACATATCGCGTGCTTTCTCCGGGACGATTCTCGGTGTGAGTCAAGTTCCTGGAGCCTTGATAGGGTATGTTACCACAGAAGTTGTGGCTTTTTTTACCAAGGAGAAGCAAGGGTTCGAGCAGTGGGCCTCCGTTTTCTGGATGTTGGTAGGAGTGAATGCTTTCGCGGCGGTTTTTTCTTTCATTTTTACTTCTGGGGAGGAACAGAGCTGGAGTGTGAGCGCTGACGTAAAGGAGATGGAGAAACTGGAAAGTCAAGACACTGTAGAGAAATAAACGATTACAATTATTTAGAGTTTTTTCTTGTCAAAATTAAGTATCAACTGGTTTGGGACAGTTTTCATCCCATTTGAAACGTCCTGTAAAAACGAGAGAAATTGACATATTTTGACCCTCTTATATTAAAATTTGATTTTCAGTTTTGTTTTAAATTTTACCGTTTTGTAGAACTCTCCGAGTTTCGATTCTTTCGTCATTTTCTCAAAATGGAAAATATTGGTGGAATTAAAAAAAAAATAGCACAACTCAATCAAAATTATTCGAAAGCTGTCGGTGTTTTATTTTTGATACTCTATGTAAACTGTTGAATTATACAAATTGGTCTAAAGTTATTTAGACAGCACTTTCCTCGCTCTTGAAGTCCGGTATAACATTTACAGTTTTGTCTGATAATTGTAAGATTCGATTTAGAGATTTTTTTGGTTTCTTTATTTCCTTTATTTTTTTGTTGTTTCTTTCGATTTATTATTTTTTATTTATTCAATTTTCTAATTTTCAGGCTTCGATAAAATTCCATGATTTTCCACGTTTAAAATTTTTCAATTTGCAGTTTTTGGATTTCCAATACATATTTCTTTTTTTTTATTTTTCACTTCTTCGAATTTTCGTTTTTTCAAATTTTCATGTTTGATTTTCACTTTCGGCATTTTCAAGTTTTCATTATATACTTTTTCGTTTTTTTTTTTTGATTTTTCAGTTTATCGAGTTGCAATTTTTTAATTTTGCATTTACAGTTTCTCATTTTTCGATTTTTCACATTCTCAGTTTTTAATTTTTGTCATTTTCAATTTTTCGTTTCCTCGATTTTTCGAGTTCTCGATTTTTATTTTTCAATGTGGCGAATTTTAAGTTTTTATTTTCTCGATTTATATCACAATTGTCTGTTTTTTCATTTCCTTTATTTTCTGTGTTTTTTTTTTTCGATTTTACAATTTTTAATTCGTTCAATTTTTCAAATTTTCAAGCCTTGAATTTTCAGTTCGTCCATTTTTCAATTTTTAAATTTTTCACTTTGCAGTTTTTGGATTTCCAGTCTTTTATTTCTATTTCATAATACATATTTCTTTTTTTTTGATTTTTCACTTTTTCGATTCTTACGATTTTTCAAGTTTTCAGTTTCTCAATTTTTAATTTTTTCCTTTTCCAATTTTTTGTTTCCGATTTTTATTTTTCATTTTGTCGATTTTATATCACAACTTTTTGTTTTTTCATTTCCTTAATTTTTGTTTCTTTCGATTTTTCGTTTATTCAATTTTTCAAATTTTCAGGCCAATCGATTCCAATTCGTCGATTTTCCAATTTTTTAATTTTTCAGTTTGCAGTTTTTTCCTTTCTTTCCTTTTTTCCTTTTTGGATTTCTCAGTTTTTTTAAACTTTTCGATGTTTTAATTTTTCTTTTTTGAATTTTTTGATTTTTTTTTTATTTCTTGATTTATAGAATTCAGATGTTTGGATGTTTTGATTGTTCAATTTCTCAATTTATCAATTTCTCAATTTTTTTCTATTTCTCCATGTTTCGATTTTTGGATTTCGCGGTGTTTCGATTTTCCAATTTTTCGATGTTTCGAGTTTTCAATTATCCGATTTTTCAATTTTTTTAAATTCTAGAGTTTCGATTTGTTGATTTTTCAGTTTTTCGATTTTTAAGTTTTAGATTTTCGAATTTTTCTTTTTTTGATTCTTTGATGTTTGGATTTCTCCATTTTTCAATTTTGCAATATTTCAATTGTTCAATGTTTTAAATTTTAGATTTTTTGATTTTCCAATTTTTCGAATTTTGACGTTGCTAGATTTTCAGTTTTCCGAATTTTCAATTAATATATTTTTTGTATTTTCCCGTTTCTCGAATTTGCAGTTTCGATTTTTCAGTTCTTCAACTCTTCGATTTTTGAATTTTTCGGTTGGCTAAATTTTTAATTTCTCAATTTTGGATATTTGTTTCAGTTTTGGGATTTTTCAATATTTCTATTTTTCGACTTTTCGATTTTTTATTTTTTGGATTTTCAGTTTTTCGTTTTTTAAACTTTAGATTTTTCAATTTTCGACTGTTTTATATATATTTCGATTTCTGAATTTTTCGAGTTTTCAGTTCTTGTATCTTTTTTCCGAATTTTTTATTTTTCGATTTTTCAATTTTTTGAGAACTCGATTTATCGAGATTCGGACGTTTTGATGTTTTGACTGTCTCAGTTTTTGAATTTTTCCATGTTTCAATTTATCGGTTTTTCGTTTTTATACCTACGGCTTTTCGAATTTTGAATTATTCGATTTTTCAATCTTCCAATTTTTTAAATTTTCAAGTTTTGATTTTGATTTGCCCATTTTCGACTTGCCAAGGTTTCGATTTTTCAGTTTCTCAGTTCCTCAATTTTTCGATTTTTCAGGCCCCAGATTTTTCAGTTTTTCGATTCTTTAGGTTTGCAATTTTTCGGCCTTTCGATATCCCAGTTTTTGGATATTTCGTTCACTTTTGTGAGTTTTCTCACTTTTTCAATGCTGGGATTTTTTAATATTTCGACTTTTGGATTTTTCACGTTCTGGATTTTTCGATTTCTCGACTTTTTACTTTTTGGATTTTCAATTTTTCGTTTTTTGAACTTTCGGTTTTCACAATCTTTCAAATTTTCGATATTTTAAGTTTTCAATTTTTAAAATTTTAGGTTTTTCGATTTCTCCAGTTTTCAGTTCTTCTATGTTTGAATTTTTCAATTTTCGAAATTTAGAGTTAATTGTAAGTTACTTTTTTAAAAACAGAGTAAGATGCGGTAATAAAAATAAAAAATTTTCTATTCGTTGTGATTGACTAAAAAAACTCAAAAAAAAGTTGCATTTGTGATTCACTAGCAATATCAGGCGTTAAGATATTTGAAAAGTGACTAGAGAACACTAGAGGGTTCGGACTACGTGAAGAGTTATTTATGCTCAACTGTTGTGTGGCAATTCTGAGTGATACAGTAGACGCAAACATTTAGTGCGTTTATGGCTTTGACGTTTAAAGTACTTTCAGTCGCCCTTCATAAAACTTACTTAGTACTACCCTGTGCTTTTACCAGAGAAGGTCTTTTTCAGGTAGGTTATCACTTATCAGTAATGGGGTTTAAAACATCCGGCTGTGACGGTCTATTGAATTATATTGAAAGTTAAATTGGTGTGAAGCCATAAACGCACTAAAAGTTTGCGTCTAGTATACCACTACCGTACTAGCACTGCTGTCAACAATTCATATCTGTCAATTAAAAAAGCAAGGTAAATAAGGTCCAATAAAATCAAAGGCAAAGTTGGAAAGTGAACACATTTTATTTTAATACGGGGAAAAGCTGCGAAATGAATCTTCAAACGATTCATTTGCCCAGCTGCAAAAAAACCCTTTATTTTTTCCAAAAAAACAGAACGTTATAAACATACATTGCACATATAACATGAATTTACATTTCAAATCACTAACAAATGTTTTGCGGTTGAAAGGATCAAAACCTGCATGTGGAGACCGAACGTCTCTGCAGTGAACGTTAAAAATTTAAAATTGAGCGCGAATTGATATTTTCGTCGGTCCGGTGGTGATCAATCAGGTTGAAATTCTTGTGTCGCCTCGTCCAGGGGAGAGTCCTCTTCCAAACCAAGAACGACGAAGCTGAAAAGTGAACATATTCTATCGAATTTTGGTAGTATGGTATGAATTTACTTTTTACACAGCTAAATGTTCCTCATGGGGTGAGTGTTCAGGATGTGTTGATAAGCCTTTTCGAATGTTTCAAGTTGGCTTTTCGTGGGGTCATCGTGATAAATCAGCCTCAGTCTTCTATATTGTCTTGTCACGTCGACCAGTGGGGCGTTCTCCACTAAACCAAAGATAGCGTAGTACTGGTGCACGTGAACGACGACTTGCAATGCCGTTTCGGCTCCGCCGATTAAGACCTCATCAGCAATCTTCTTGTCCTTAATCGCCTTCTTCGTTTCTTTCGCCATGGAACCGACCATGGCGATATTGGATTTTAAGATATTACACCATAAAGAGAAAATTTTCTCTTGGAGCGTTATGCAGATCTTCTCGACGACATCTTCAACGTCGTTGTCGCAGCCGGCCGGTTTCAGATGTTTCTCTAGGTAGTTCGCGAAGCCTTTGACGTATCTGATGAGTTCCGCGTTCTTTTCCGTTAATTCTCGCGCCTCTTTCAAAAATTCCACGACTTTTTTCTGCTTCTTCTCTCGGAGTTTATTTGCAACGTTGACAATAGGATGGTGTTTTGTAAGATCTTGTGCCGCGAATCGATCGACCGTCTCTTGGATTTGGGTGAAGTCGCTGGTCCGCAACTTCTCCATCAGCTTCTTGTTCGACCTAATCGATTCTTCGATCATGGCGTTTATCTTATCGATTAGGTCTCCGGTCACCTTTCTCGCGATGGTTGGTATTATCACGTCGTTGTAGATGGTCTCCTTCAGTTTTCGTGCCGTTTCTTTGCCGATCTTCACCAGTCCCTCTTTGAACAGCTCGGATAACTTCTTCGCTTTCGCGCGACATTCCATCTTCCGCAGCTTCTCGAGTTTCTTCATTCCGCCCAGATTTTTCAGTTCCTTCGTTAGGTTAGAGTTGAGGAGCCGCTTCAGCTCGGCGAGTTGTTTGCGGTTCGGCAATCTGTTGAATTTCACGACGGTCAAACGTTGCGATACTCGCGAGTGAAGCTGACGCACGGACTTGACGCTCTCCTTCGCCAACGATTTGAGAGCGAAGCTTTTTAATGCGTTGCGCGAAAATTTCCGGGCCAACTGTATCACCAGTTTAATCACTTTCACAACTTGAACTATGGCGCCAATACCGAATGTTAACATGCTCGCGCCCATGGAGATGAATTTTGCTTTGACGTAATCGCCCAGAGTCTCGTCGGATTTTTGTCCAAACAGTACCGCCATTGCAAGATCGACGACAGCGTCAGATAGTAGCGTCGCTGCCAGAGTGCTCATCATCGGAAAGATGGGGAAGAAGGCCAAACCTACTCCTAGCGCTACGACACCTCCGCCTATGAGCACGAGGCACTTGGTTCGTAGCTCGTCGGGAATGGTGTTCGCGGTTTTGACCGAGTAGATAATATTCATTCCGACGCTCTCGAAGTCGACGATGTCAACATCGGAAAGCAGTTCTCTATCTTCCGACTTCTCCATCATTACGAGCAAGTTTTTGAGGTTCGCGGGTGTTCGCGATTCCAATGCAACTTTCAAGTGGTTCTGGTTGAGTTGCTTGAGCACTTCGTCGATGTTTCCGCAATGTATTTTCAAACAATACAGTCTTGCCTTCAAGTGTTTCAGTAACCCGGCGTCCTCTTCGTCTGCATTAATTATGTCGATAAACTTCGGGTCGTCCAATAACTTCTCGATGTGATCGATTTCCTTCGTCAAGTCGCTCCGAGCCGTCTTAATGGACGATTTTGCGCCAGATAGGTTCGGATCTTTCTCTGCTAAACTCAGCTTGAGAAAGTCCTCTACCACTTGCAAGATCTGGTAGTAAAATGCGTTCGCCTGTTCGATGTACACTTCGAACATCTTCATGTGTGCGCCGGGAACGTTCTTCTCATCGCTGATTTCCATTGCCGTCTCTAAGTAAGTCTTCGCTTTGGCCGTGTTGCCATTTTCCAGAAAGAAATCCGCCAAAGCGATGGCATAGTACGGATTGTGGCGTATCTTTCCTTCGATGTTGCTTCTCGCCTCCTTCTTGAATTCCTCGAACACGATCGATGCTTCTGTGTCGATGTTATGCGATCTAAATTGCTTCTTTTCCAACCAGTTCGCCCAGAACTCTTTCAGATCTTTCAATACATAATCGTACTCTTCCGTGGATTTGTTTCTTTTCAGCTCCCTGTGAAGATCCGCAAAGAGCCGATACAGTTCGTCCTTAAAGGTCAATTCTTTCACCAGGCCGTGGCGGATTTGGTATAGTCTCTCTCGTTCTAGCTGATCTCTCTTATCCTTGATCGCGACAAAATTGATATTTTCATCGCCCTTCATTCCGATCTGCTCGGTTTCGCTCTTACGCAGGATCAGTTGAGCGGTACCGTTGTTTCCCTGCCTCGACGTCCGACCGAATGCTTGACCTTCCACGCGAAGATTAACGGGAAGAAAGCCGACCATCACGTGGAGACCACCATTGCCTTCGACTACCTTCGTAGTTTTAAAGTTCGTTCCGCGGCCAGCTATGTTGGTGGCCAGAATAACATCTCCCACGTTTGCCCTTTCTTTGGTTTGGTCGGCGTGCTCCTCGCTGGAATACAGACGTATTCTGACGCCTTCAGGTTGCAGGATGCGTAGATTATGTTCTACTTCGAACAGATCATCCTGAGTCTCGAAGATGGCTAAAACGGCTCTAGCGTCGTCGGTTTTCGCTAATATCTCGATCGCGACTTGGCTAGCCCAGATTTCGTCGTCGACGACGATTCCGGCCAGCTCTTCGAAGTTCTTCCTTCTGAAAGTCGGTATCTTGGCGTAATCCACGTCGTATATGGAAGAGAGTAGTTCTTGCTCGGCTCTGGAACCGAGAGTTCCTGTCATGCCATAGATGTTTTCTGATTTGTAGAGTTTTATGTACCCAATATTGGACACAAAGCTACTTGTTAACGTTTCGAAAGTCAGTTGGAGATTGTGCTTTATCTGGACGAATTGGTGGAGACCCTTCGACCAAATGGTATTTCGCATGGTCACTCCTGTGTTCAGGTAATCAACCGGCGCGATTTTCTTCTCTCCGCTTTTATCTGTTATTAAGCGGTATTGTTTGTGCTCTTTGCAACTGTATTTCGCGTGTATGGCGTTCTTCATCCACGTTTCTAACTGGGATGATACGTAAGTTTTGAGATGTTCTGGTACGAAACTCATATCTATGGGACCGGATGCCCTAATCTTCCCTTTAAGAATTTCCCTTTCTTTCGCTAGTCTACGCTTCTCGTATTCGGCGTAACGCACTTCGGCCTCTTTCAAATCGTCGTAGCTGTCGATGATCTTCTGGATCTCTCGCTGCGTTTCCTCAACGTATTCGTTTTCGGCGTCGTGCAACTTTTTCCATATTTCTAAGTATACATAACGAAGGCATTCCATTCCCGGGTAGGGGTTTGCCAATTTCGCAACGTGGCCACCATTGTCTATTAGCATCGAATCGACTTCGTCCAAAATGACTATATCGAATTTACGTTTATGCCGGACGTCGTCTCCGTCCAAAGACTCTTTCAGATAGTCGAATTGGAAGTTTCCGATGGTACCGTACAGGACGTCGGCCTCATAGCAGGCTCCGGTGTATTTGGACTCGTCGTCGGTGGGTCTGTTATTTGTGGCGACCGTAAGACCGAACACGGACAAAAGTGTCCTGGTTTCGTCCACGCCTTCCTGTGCGAGGATGGGACTACTGGTCAACACGTCTACCGTGTGGCCCTGAAGACACTTCACGATGGCCAACAGTGCTACAATGTTCGTTTTGCCTTCGCCGGTTTTAATCTGACTTAAGCGCCCTTGGACACGATTGCCGTGCAAAAAAATTATCACACTAAGTATTTGCGGGATCCTCAAGCGGTAGCCTCCCGTTACTAAGTTGAAGGCACGGTCCATAATCGCGATCGCTTCGCAGACGCTTTCCTCCGAAGTATCTAGTCGACCTTTGGTTTTCACCGCCCACGCGTGTATATCGGTAATGGTACTGTCCTTCCATACGGCTTCGTACGCTTCCTCGACGGCGAAGTATTTTGCTTTTAGGTGATTCTTCTCATAGTCGTCGTCGTCGTCGTCGTCTTCGTCCGCTTCGGTCGTAGAGTCCACTTTGTCCATCCCGATCACGACTTCCGCCATTATTTGATCTAATGTCGCGCAGTCGATGCATTCTGATCCCGTCCTCATTTCGGGCAAATTTTTGGCTATCTCGTCGATATCATCTGACGCAAGTTTTCTTTCGCTTTCTTCTTGTTCAGCTGGTCCGATCTGCTGCTCATAGAAACTTCGTAGGTCTTCGTAATCGATCTCCAATTTTTCACTGATTGTCTTCAAAACCGCCAGCAGATTTTTGTCAACCTTCATCTGCCCGATAATTTTAAAGATGTTGTTCAGTTTATTAATCTCTTCTGGAAATTCTTTCTCAATTCTTATTCCATGGTCGTCTTGGTCCTTTGATTCGTAGTTATTTTGAAACTCTTCTATATCAGCTTCGGAAAAAAATTGTTTTTGGTTCTTATTTTCCGAAGGACGAAAGTCTTCTATGTCTATTTCAGATCCATTGTCTAATGTTTCTGCGTATTGTTTTACTTGTTTGGCTAGATCCTTAGGAAGTTCCCGAAGAAATCCTTTTAATTCTTCTAAAAATCGTTTGTTTTCTTTTAATACGTCACTCTCTTTTATTACGAATTGGAACTGTTGGTTTTTGAGATCGTCCAACAGCGGAAATAGGATCGTAGAAAAATCAGATAATTTATTTTTCTTATCGTTCCAATGTTTGAGAAGAATTCCAATATTCCGTAAAGTTGAAGGGCCATATGAAGGTTCATCGTCGACTTGTTGCTGTTCAATTTCGTTGTTAATAACTTCGACACTGGGGTACTTTTCTTTAAGTCTATCGAACAATCGTGAAGGAATTTTATCTCCGCATGGATCTTTATAAAATACTGTAGTTTTAACGTTCTCCTCCACGTTCTCCTGGACGACGCAAATCATCACCCACCTCTTGATTGGTTTCCCATAAACTAGAACGTGGAGTTGTTCGGTTTCAATTTGAAAGTCTTCCAATGCGACGTCAAAATTTTCAAAATTTTCGATTAGACGAAACTGCTTCTCGAAATCGTGATTGTACGTCCCCATCTGTTTTTTCGCTTCTTCAAGCATGTCCTCCTTTTCGAATATTTCGCCAGCGAGAAATTTATTGATTGTCTTTTCGTGGATCTCGAAGGTTTGGTCTGGTGTTTGGATCATATCCAGAATTCTTTGTCGTGCGTTTCGTACGGAGTTAATTCCGGCGCGGTCCATTTTCTGTAATGAAGCGAATTATAATTTTTTTATTTTGTAGATTGTCATCAGATACACCACGGTTTACTTGCCGACGTGTCCGAGTTGCGCCCACTACCTGAGTTTTCGAGCTCAAAAAGTCCGAATTGCGCACATTTTTTTGTAGGTGAATGTTCCGAATTGCGCCCGCTGCCTGGAAATATTACCATACCTACCCCGCTTGATCCTCCTTGAAGTAGGTAACATTTTGTTGGAGTTTTTTTTTTTCATAGTTTCTAAGTATGGTATATTTTTTTTTTTCATTAAAGAAAACCAAATTTTTACATAAAGACAAATTTCTTTATACTTCGAAAAGATAAAACTATTAGGATGACAAGAACTAAATGAGTTAAGTATTATATTTCGCGTGGAACGATTTGCAATCATTTCTTATTGTTCTTCAAAATTTTTCACATGATACGAGGAAACAACAGCCCATTAGCATCTGTGTAGATTATATACAGAATTAAGCACGAATTTACAATCAGTCTGAGACAAATTTGATCACAAAACACTGGATTTTCCAATGGAAAATAATTTTTACCTGTATTATAGGGTCTAAGAACGCGGTAAGGGAGCATTTAGGTAGTGGGCGCAATTCGGACTCCCCCTTACTTGCAAGCCGACAAAATATAATTATGTACGTCTAATGCGTACATAAGGCAAGACACTTCATTTCAACTGATGGCCAGAGTTGGTTATAAAATTGATAACTTGAGAACTGGATGCCTACAGTGACGCAATTTCTTAATTCTGTGTCGTAGATGAAAACCGAAAAATTAAGACTTGGGGCCGAATTCTGTATCTTAACCTTTAAATAAGGGATCCGTTTGTTAAAAGCTTTATCGTAAAGGAAATGTGAAAGTGAATCCTTTAATATCTTATTCTCTATTGCATCCATTGAGGAGAAACTTAGTTCGACTTTATGTAAAGGAACGCTTGCGTTTACCATTGTGAGAGATGGAATCTATTCTACATAAACTCAAATTTTCACAATGTCGATATGACAGCCCGTGGATATATTTAGTTGATGTGACGGGCTCGGGAGATTTTTAAACTTAACTTTTGTTAATATATTAGATATGAAATTCTTGTCGTGGTCTTTGTGCCTCACATACAGTAAAAATATTCTTTATTTGCTCATAGGTTGGTTCGTGATGATGGTAACACATCAAAAACTTAAAAAAACTTAAACATTTTTTGAAATTGTTAAGTTTGTTGATTATGAATTAGAACAGCGGACAGTCGTTTTATAAGTTTTATTAACAAATAACAAGGGTGTTCTTGAATATGAATAGAATATGACCCGTAGGTCCAGAATAAGAGTAGAATTATGACCGTTAGGTCCACAGTGAATATAGAGTCTGACTGAGTTCTGAATGATGAGTGGATGAATAATGTTACCCTGTGTTCCAAGGTGGTGGTGGCCCTGGCTCCCACCCTTACAGGTGGAGAGGAGTGAAACAGGTTCCCGCCAGAGACACTAACAGAAATCATGCACATTTTTACCTTATGTACCAACACAAACACACACTGAAGTGGCAACTAGTCAGGGGAGTCTGGTCTTTAATGGATCTTTTGGTCTTTTATAAGTAAAGACCCCTCCAAAGGAGTTGTTTTTGCAAAGTTGTTTATTAATTACCAAATTTGGCTTAATTAACCTTAATATGACGGTTTTTAGTGCTTTTTGCTAATACCAACAAATTTAAATCATGAAACTATAAAACTGGACAAAGACATCATTGTTCTGACTCATATATACCTTCTTTGTAATTCCTCTGGGTTAAATAATCACAGATTCTCCATTTCTTCCCTTTTATTTAGAAACGGTAACTACCTATATAAAACTAATGAAACTGACAGATAATTTGCGTAAAGTGACACATATGACCATAAGGGAAACTATAACGGATTTCACCTTTATACAACGCAGTCCTTTACGTTTTAGAGAATAAGAATATCCTTATGTAAAGGACAATCCCTTCACCAAAGTGTCTTTATACTTTACAGAATTCGGCCCTTAATTACGTCTGGAAAGTCATTTGTCAATTATACGTATATTATCTCACCTCTACTCATTGCTTTATTTCTATTACATATTTCTATTTTAAGTATCACCGGCCATAGTATTACTTACATTTTAAGATGAAAAATCAGCTACCGATTGTACTTTGTCAGACGTCGAACTACGCTGGGGGTTTCCTCTTTTGCCCTCCGAAGACAGTTTCCGATTGCAATTTAATCGAAAAAGGGATTAATGTGATGTCGTACTAATATATAAATGGAACAGAACTACTGTTCAAGCGTCGAGGTGACTACAGCGGTGCAGCGTAGCCGAAGTTTGCCTCTTTCCTCTACTGCGAAACCGGTGTTAATGTGCAGGAAATCCTTTAATTTTCAAATGCAATAAAAAAATCTGGAAAAAGATACCACTAATTTTTCAGCACTTTCACTTGCGTCGCTCAAATTTGGATGCGGTCAACAACGACTAAAATGTCTACTGTCAATTTTAATTTTAAATATGCACAGCATTCTTCTTAATTAAGAAATTACAATTGTAACGCGAGCTCGCTAGATGGCGCTACGGACGTGGATGCAACCCCAAGCAACCCTCGCGGACGAGCAACTCCCTCTCTCTCCCCGTTCGGTCGCGGCTAGATACAGTCGAATTAGTTTATAGTTAGAATAGTTTGCTTGTGTTACATTACTTTTGTAAATATTATGGTGGCATTATTATACTTGTTTTCCCGAAAACTGCGTATTATTCAGGTAGAGTGGCGACGGAATTAAGTGGTCGTTACAGTGGCGCTCCAACTCGGGCTCGAAGTGTTAACGAGCGTTGTACACTTGAGCGTTAAAAGGTCTAACATACGCTGCAAAATCTACATGCATCAGGGTTGATCGCGTAGTAATCGAAAAACCACGTTTCCAGGAGAACACGTGGGCAGTGATAACCGCATTATCACCATGGCAGTCGACGAAAAGGGTTGCAATTTACAGCTAGGGGAAGGGTAAGACGTCGTGTAATCAAGAACGAACGACGTGAGTTTCGTCGTTTTCTGCAAATTTGAAAACGTCGTGGTTGCCGCCACTTTGGAATTTGGCGCCATCGGTGAGTGAATCGTCGCGTCCGGAACTAGTACCAACTATCCTTGGTGACATTTGCGTTGGCCAACCTGGAACTTGACAAGTGACAGGTGACATTTGATTGAACATGACCTCCATGAGGAGCATTCCGCCGACAACAAAAGAAAGTAATAGCAACGTCGCGAGTACTACCCAACAGGAGAAAAGAAAGAAGAGGAACGACCCCCAACAAAAAGGTTTCCTGCACATATTCTCTAAGGTCACGTACTCATACATCACCCAGCACAATGGCAGACAACGTAGTTCTGACCGCAGAACAATTTGATCTGCTGCTAGCTAACATGAGGACGGTGCTGACAACGCCTGCACCAACTCCCGTACCCACTCCCGCGGCTTCAGGAACATTCGCGGAATGCAAGTCTAGGTTCTCCGGAGCGAAAGGAGAGTGTCTTGAAGCATTCATTAACGCCATAGAGATGTATAAGGGTTGTCTGAATGTTTCAGACGAGAATGCTCTTAGAGGTTTACCCATGCTTTTAGATGGCGCTGCTGCGACGTGGTGGCAAGGACACATTTGAGGCTTGGGAAGATGCTGTAAAAGCACTACGGCACAGCTTTGGTGAAAATAAGCCCCCATACAAAATCTTCAGAGAGCTGTTCTCACGAGAGCAGTCACTTTCGGAGCCAACAGACATATTTGTAAGCCACGCTCGTGCGCTACTAGCAAAGCTACCACCAACCCCCAAACTGGACGAGCAACGCAAGGTCGACATGGTGTATGGGCTTTTAAACAATAACATCTGAAAAGGTGTTCATCAAGATGTTATTGCGACGTTTGAAGATCTTATATTAAAAGCAAGAGCTGTCGAAGATTTTATGGATATAAAAGACTGATAGTAAAGATTCTCATAATAGAGTGTGATGTAGTTTCTGCAATTATCATGGACACAACCAAGGAGAGTGTAAGAAGGCTGTGAAACAGAAGAGTCAGGAGACAAGTCAGGCCCCAAAGATGATCACACAAACATCAAATACACTTATTTGCTATGGTTGCCGTAAGCCTGGACACATCAGGTCCCAGTGTCCTAACCAGCAGCAGAAACAAAAGCCAGCCGACACCATGGAAGTTTTGTCTGCTGACTTAAGTGGTGAAGCGTACAGGGCTTTCCTACCAGTTTGCATTGCAGGAAAAGAAGGTCTGGCCTTTGTAGACATGGGAGCTAGACACAGCATGGCCGGCAACAACTTATTTTGGCATCTAAAGGCGATAGGAGCCCCATATCACTCGGTCCAACAAATGATGACGATGGCGGATGGGAACCCAGTCCCAGTCAGAACGGAGGTGTTCGATGTGGAAGTGACCCTTGCAAAACGCACCTTCCCAATAACCTTGACGGGAGTACGGATCACATAAACAGCAAAACTCTACTGGGAATCAATTTCATAAAGCAGGCAGGTATTATATTGGACCTCCCAGAGATGAGGGATGCACCATCATGGTGCCTATTAGTCGATGAATCGACGGTGATTACAGGTTGCCAGTAAATGCTATAGACCTGAAACCGCTACGACAAGCACATCCATCCCTACTTGACACGTCGCGTAGGGATTCCAGTGGATACGCACTAGGTGCGTGTCTACTGCAGGGGGAGAGCCCCGAAAACAACAAGAAGCAAGATTCGACCGGAAAAACTCCCGCTTTTCTGTGCTTCGGTCGGGAAATGAGGCACCTTTTGATGTGCACACTGACATTCGTGCGGTTGTGAGCAACGAAAATTTCGTCGCGGAAATAACGCCGTACCTAAAGGTGATCGCGGAGACATTAAAGGATTCGCGCGAAAGGTCCGAACAGCAACAAGATCGAGCGAAGAAGTACGCGGACCAACGACGCAGATCTACGCCCACCTTCAACATCGGTGACGAGGTTCTCGTGGATGTGCACGCTCTCAATAGTCAAGAGCGCAATTTTTCAAGCAAATTCGTCCCTCGACGGGACGGTCCATACATCGTCATCGAGACGAAGTCTCCAGTGACTTACATGGGCAAATACCATGTGTCTGCTTTGAGGGCATTCGCCCATGACGACGGCGATGGCAACGTGCAACCAGTGGTGCCTCTTCGACGACGTTGTCGTCCCAAGAAAGCGCCCGCCCCAGAGGTCGTACCAGATGCGGAAGAAGACGCGGTTGAACCAGATGTGACACAAGTCCAGCCTTCTGGTCAACGCCCTCGAAAACGGCCAACATGCACTTGCTGTGCATACAGCCATATTTACTTTCTAGCACAGCTTTCTAGTTTTCAGATATAAGATTCCACCTGTGGGCAGTCCGTGTAATCTAAAGGGGGAGTGTAACACGAGCTCGCTAGATGGCGGTACGGAAGTAGATGCAACCCCAAGCAACCTCGCGGACGATCAACTCCCTCTCTCCTCAACCAATTTTCCGCGTGCCAGATAAAGTATACGCGAAAAACAAGATTAGAATACCGTTAATTTTAAAATTAAATTTAAAAAACTAACAAAACACGAATAATAGGTACATACTGTATATCTTAAATTGCCACAAATCCGTGAAAACTATCAAATTTCGTCCGGCTGTATAACATGGTTTTCTTGGTATTTGATCAGTTGATCAGGCTTCAGCGTAGAATACTATTTAAATGCAATTGCAGAGTTATTAAGTGCATCTGTCGTAGGAGCATCTAATAAAGATTATAATATTTAATCATTCTGTTCATTGTGGCTTTTTTAAGGGACATAATTCGAGATAGCAATAGCGCTTTACTTAGTGTTGTACCATGGGTGTGAAGACTAATTTAAATTTCATTAATAAACTGATGACTAATTGTATAACAAAAATTTCTGTTAATTTTTTTAAACGTTTGTTGTTCTTTAATAGGCCATTATGTTGTATTACGAATATAAAATGTAAATTCTGAGTGGGAGAAAAAGATACTTCGTACTTGACGGGTTCTCCAACTTTGCTATTTTATATAAGAATAACTAGTAAAATAGATGCAGACGTGTTGCAAAAACGTTTATTAAAGTTTATTTGTTCAACTCACTGTGATTTTTTTATTGCACGAAATCTATTTTTCAGTTCATTCAAAGGTAAGCAATCCATTTCGGGAAAGCAGTTCCCAATAGTGTTACACTATGTGTTTCAAGTCAAACTTCATAGGAAAATCGTCAAATTGAATACAATACTCCAAAAACATCCATGGCTGCAAATGGGAGTTCTCTTTCTAACTCGGAGCTGTTGGAACTGTACCATATTTTGTTTCTCATACTGACGATAATATGTTACGTTAAAACACACGGATTTATTATTGTAAATTTTATTGTAAAATCACAAGAAGAAGCGCAAGGGACAATAAGAAGGACGATGAATAATAATCTAAAGATGTTCGTGGCACACTGGTGCCAGTAGAATTCGGTCCCGTGTAATACAGAAATTGGCCGGTGTTACAAAGATCTGTATCACAGTGAACGCATACAATGTCTGAATAGTTATGGCAAGAGTTCATGAAATAATCACCCATATAGTAGCATCCTTTCTCGACGACTAGACGATTGGCTACAAATTGTATAGATCATAAATTTATGCATTTTAAGGTACACTTACGAGATAGGCGGTTTTTGGTCGCACACACGTATGTTCTGTTGGGATTATTGTAATAAGAAGATCCGCATTTTTCTATTTTAACAGGATCCGTGCATTTTCTGCTGCATCTGTAACATTCTGTCGGTTCCGTTTTTTCAGATGGTGCCAGACACAGCAGAATGATCAAGGCTGAAACAAGAATTGCTTGAAGGCGGGACATTCTTGGACCGAACGGTTTTATTGTAAAATTTGATGACAGTTTTCTTTCGAAATTAAAAAAAAATAAACAAGCAAAACAAAAGTTGACATGTCTACGTCAAATTTTGTTTTACAAATGTTACGCGACAAAGCCGTCTTAGACAAAAATGATTCCATAAGAATATAATTTTATTTCTTGGTTTACTTACTTCCTTTCATCAGGGTATAAAATCTCTAGCCAACCTGGTTTTCGAAAAATTAATTAGGAAGAAATGAAACGCAATGAAACAAACTGATTTTGCTGCGGATTTATTATAAATAAATCGATGCGAGACATCTTTTCTTAATTTTCATTTCGAAATTTGTATGTTGCCGTAATAGCATCCACCTGAAGAATAGTTAATTTAATGATCCTAGTAGCCACCAATTAGCAACGTTATAATGTGGACTCGCAACTCCAAAAATTGTTTGTTTTTAATCAAAACTTTATAGATGTGTTAAGGAATTGATGTTATTAGTATGGTAGATCAAATTTTAGACTCGTTTTATTTACTGTAAATTAAACAATTCCAACAATGTTGAAATGTCACGTTACAAAGAACCTCATGTCTATATACAATGGAACTATCAGCAATAAAACAAAACCATTCCACGCAAATGTGAATCGCTTGGAAGATTTGCTTTCTGATATTTGGCTAAACTATTGATTGATTCATTATGATTTTTGTATAATGCACAACACTGTCATCACAGGTACAAAAAAAATCAAGCGATTTCTGAGGTGACTTCCTCGTAACGCTGCTTTCATAAAATAATGAAGCATCACATCATGATTCATATCAGCAGCTTTCTAAACATGATGAAAAATTTTACGACCAAAAAGGACTGTCTGCAGACAAGCCGAGAGAAGTTTCTTCTAAACATAGGCTTAAAATTATGCAGACTATTTTATTTGACGAATCAGAATTTCTTAGGTACACGATGTTAATTCCGTTTCTCTTTTGAGACCGAATAGCCATCTTTTAAACCATTTCTTATAAACAAATCTCAACCATTGTAACTGATCTCCATATTTTCGTCGTCCTTTCAAATCAAAAATATTTCTTCGTTCATTAACTGACTTTGACCTCAAACTGTGTTCCTGAGTGGACCAGAAAAATGGCTAAAGTTTGTTTGACCACAAATTTTAAATATTCGACCCCTGTTTACTCAACTATTTATTAAGATATTTTATTTTTATAAAGCGCAATGGAATTTTTGATACAATTTCTACTAATGTACCTTTTCAAAATTTAAAACTGATCCATAAATAGCGAAAACCAGATATTCTCATACTCATCACAATTTTAACACGTTGTAGCAACTTCTGCACTCAGACAGAGTTGCGAGAGTTATCTGTGCATCATTTCTGAATTCTGAGGGTCGTTGTAGTTTAGATATTATAGTCTTTGAATTCTGACAGTGGATGTAGGCTGTGTTCTCTAAGAGACGGAATCAGCACCACTCTCTGAGGCGTTTCATGTACAGATTGTTTGATAGTTTATTTCTCTTCTTCTCTCTCTCTTTCTATAGCCCAGCGTTACATGCCGATGTTCAGACTGAGTTCAGACCGGTCTCGGTGACCTCGACACCGACGCCGACACCGAGTTCGAGCTCGTAACTTTAACTCGTAATCCTATTTCGGCACGCATCGTATACGTGTTCTATAATACGAAAAGAAAGGAATTAAAACTCCAAAAATTCTGTTAACTATTTTAAAAACGTTTGTAGTCCTTTAATAGGCCACTATGTTCTATTACGAATTTAAAATGTGAATTCTGATGGGAGGAAAAGATACTTCATACTTGGCCGATTCTCCAACTTAGCTATTTATAAGAATTACTAGTAAAATAGATGCAAAAACGCTTATTGAAGTTTATTTATTCGACTCACTGTGATTTTTACACGAAATGTATTTTTCAGTTTATTCAAAGGTAAGCAATCCATTTTGAGAAAGGAGTTCCCAAAAGTGTTACACTAAATGTGTTTCAAGTTAAACTTCAAAACATGGCTGCAAATGGGATTTCTTTTTCTAGCTCGGAGCTAGAATATTATATTTTCCATATTTTGTTTCTTATAGTGATGATAATACGTTACGTTAAAACACACGGATTTGTTATTGTAAATTTTATTGTAAAATCACAAGAAGAAATGTAATGGACAATAAGAAGGACGATGTATAATAATCTAAAGATGTTCGTGGCACACTGGTGCCAGTAGAATTCGGTCCCGTGTAATACAGAAATTGTCCGGTGTTACAAAGGTCTGTGTCACAGCGAACGCATACCATGTCTGAATCGTTAAAGCACGCGTTCATGAAAAAACTACCCATATAAAAGCATCCTTTTTCGACTACTAGACCCTTGACGGCTATAAATTGTATACGTGGTAAATTTATGCATTTCAAAGTTCATTTTGCACTTACAAGATATGCGGTTTTTAGTCACACACAGGTATGTTCTGTTGGGATTATTATGATAAGAAGATCCGCATTTTTGTGTTTTAATAGGATCCGTGCATTTACCGTCGCAATAGTAACATTCTGTGGGTTCCGTTTTCTCAGATGGTGCTAGACACAGCAGAATGATCAAGGCTGAAACAAAAATTGCTTCAAGGCGGAACATTCTTGGACCGAACGGTTTTATTGTCCAATTTGATGACAGTTTTCTTTCGAAAATTAAAAAAAAACAAACAAGCAAAACAAAAGTTGACATATCTAGGTATGTGAAATTTTATTTTACGAATGATACACGACAAAGCCGTCCTAGACAAAAATGATTCCATAAGAATATAAGCTTATCCCCTGGTTTACTTATTTCCGTTCTTCAGAGCATAAAATAAGCCCTACGTAACACGGTTTTCGACAAACCTTCGACGGTGTATTGCCGAACCTTTGCTACAAAACGTCTAGTAGTCGTCTTTTTTTACGCCGTTCCGGTACGACGCCTATGGGTTTTCTTGAGAGCTTTCTAGTATGTACGGCGATGATGGGTGACTCATCGTCGGTGATGGCGGCCGGATGGCGTTCGCTAAAGAAAACCCTGGAAGTGGAAGTCGCGATGGGTACTCCAGAAAGCCTCAATCGCGGAATATCTAGAAGGGAAGTATGGGTGTCTTCAAGCTGCGCCGAAATTTTTTGTAGATAATCGCTGTAAATTTGTGGTACCGAGAAATAAATTGTTGAGTTTTACCCACACCGACTTTAATTACCGATTAACGTAACACTGGTGTCAGAACTGAGATTCAAGATTAATAATTGTTGGTTTTACAAGGGTTTACGAACAGATTGGACAAGAATTCTGAAGATTGATGCCTGTTGAGACTAGAGCTCAAGCTGCGAAAATGGAAAACACAAGTGAAACAAATCATGGCTATGCTGCACAGATGGACGCAAGAGATGAGAAAATGAATGCAACAGTAGAAGTAATGAACGAAAAAATGACTAGCAAAAAGATGACATAATCACCAGCTTATCTGCAGGAATAGAAGCAAACAAGAATAAAATAGAAGAAATTAAATAACGATCGAAAGTTATGGAAAATATTGTCGGACGAAATATGGTCTCACTGGACGAAAAATTAAAAGAAGTCGAGCATCAGTTAAGAAGTGAGTTAGAGAAATCAGCGCAAGAATGCGTGGAAGATCGAATGAAAACTATAGAAAATCGAATGAAGAAAGAGATAATCCAATCAAGTTGCACCGGAATTATTTTGCATGTAGTCGTTCTGTCGTGTAATAAGCATTCACGTTCGGTAGAAGTAACTGACAGAAACTTTTCTGTGGTTAAGTTGCAATCTTAAGATCACTAGAAATTTAAGATTGGCATCAACTGTCTAATTTTCTAATTCAAATGTCAAATCTGAATTGTGTGGAAAAAAACGAAGTTTTTCTAACTTCAACACGCTTCGTTTCTAGAAAATCCTTAAATACAGCGTGGAAACAGTTTCCATAAAAGTAATCACGAGAAAGCTCATTTTAAAGGAAAAGAAACAAGAAATATTTCGTGGTTTTCAAAAAATTGGGTAAAACGGAAACAGTTAAACTGGTGGCAGAAATATTCTCCGTAAAGTTCGCTAGTGTTGTCGAGTGTTTTTCGAATTTTAAAATAATACAGATACAGCGGCGCTTGTGCCGTTAATATTATAATCAGAATCAGAAAGACGACTGCGCAGATTTATATACCTACATGCTTTGTTGGTTCCGTTCTACAATTGGTTTTTAAGTTTTATATAATCGTTATTGTTTTGTAAGAGGTAAAACACTTGGCTTTGAAAATAATTGTACATAATACACGTATAAATTTAGGTTTCCGAAGGCGAAGTTTTTCACATTTTAAACACGTTATAGCTGCCAGAATCAAATTTCTAAGGCGGTCTATCTCCAATTGCGTGATTGTGGTGAAGATTTACTTTTCATTTTCTTGAATGAGACATGGATATACCAGAACGGATCCATGGTGAAATTGTGGATCCATGATGATGACATCAAAGCTTGTCCTCCTAAAAAAACTAGTGAAGGGAAAAGATTCAAAATTTTACATGCGGGTTGCTCTTTGGGCTTTTAGAGGGATGCGATTTTCTCCTTGGTTCAAAAATAGATTCACCAGATTACCACAAAACCATCACATTTTCGATATTTGACCTTTACTTACTTACATGTCACATTTTTGATAGCTACTTTCTGACATTCCAGTAATACATTATACACTAGAACAATTATGTCCGCAGTTACACAGCTTAAAAAAAAAAGTTACCAAATCTAGTTACATCTATCGAACGTGAATTCCTTATAAATGTGTTACTGAGAAATAAATTGTTGAATTTTACCGACGCCGATATTTAATCAGAGATCATCGTTACAATACAATATTCCAAGTTCCAGGCACATTCATGGATGCAAAATGACATTTCTCTTTCTAGCTCGGAGCTGTTGGGACTGTAAGTAAGACTTTATTATATTCTACTTTGTTTTTCATAGTGATGATGTTACGTTACGTTAAAACAAACGGATTTATTACTGTAAATTTTATTGTAAAATCACAAGAAAAAACGTAATGGACAGTAAGAAGGACGACGAATAATAATTTAAAGATGTTCGTGGCACACTGGTGCCAGTAGAATTCGGTCCCGTGTAATACAGAAATTGTCCGGTGTTACAAAGATCTGTGTCACAATGAACGCATACAATGTTTGACTTGTTACGGCACGCGTTCATGAAAACATCACCCAAATAAAAACATCCTTTTTCGATCACTAGACGATCGGCTACAAATTGTATAGATGGTAAATTTATGCATGTCAAAGTACATTCTAAACTTACAAGTTAGGCGGTTTTTATTCGCACACACGTACGTTCTGTTGAGATCTTCATTATCATAAGAAGATCCACATTTTTCTGTTTTAATGGGATCCGTGCATTTTTTGTTGCAATAATAACATTCTGTGGGTTCCGTTTTTTCAGATGGTGCGAGACACAGCAAAATGATCAAGGTCGAAACAAAAATTACTTGCAGGCGGGACATTCTTGAACCGAACGGTTTTATTGTAAAATTTGATGACAGTATTTTTTGGAAAATTAAAAAAAATTAAACAAGCAAAACAAAAGTTGACATATCTATGTGAAATTTTGTTTTACAATGTTTCACGACAAAGCCGTAATATTAGACAACAATGATTCTATAATAAGTTTAATAACTGACGGGTAGATTTTTGTTTTATCAAACACTTTGTTCAGTCGATTGGATCTGGATAGACAATACTAACCAAAATGAATGTGATAAATTTCAAAAATTTGTAGATATGATAATACGTTAAATTTCTAAAGGTGTAAAAATGTTAGGTTACTGTAATTCGATGCATTCTGTCACGTATGTTATAGTCTTTGCCATTTCTATTGAAACACCACTTGTTAACCGTAAATTTGGCAACGTTCACATTCAGACAATTTTCTAACTAAAAGCCGTTGTCAATCAACCGAAAGCTGTTACCAATTGCTAAATTTTAAACAAAATCAACAGGTGGTGTTTCAATAGAAATGGCAAAGACAATACGTATCTTTGATTACCCCTCAAAAACACAGAAATTATCAAAGTCGTAAATGGATGCAAATGGCATTTCTCTTTCTAGCTCGGAGCTATTGGAACTGTAGTAAGCAATACAACAATAAGAAGGACGATGAATAATCTAAAGATGTTCGTGGCACACTGGTCCCAGTAGAATTCGGTCCCGTGTAATACAGAAATTGTCCGGTGTTACACGTATCACTGTATCACAGTGAACACATATTATCCGTTCACGATCTTTATATAGTGTAGCGCTGGCCATGAAAATCTAGTGAGTTTGTTGGTATTCGATGCAGAAGAATAAAAATTCCCCGAACTTTTTTCGTTAGGTTATGTTTTATTAAATTACCGGTTAAAAAATATGCCAGAAATATAAACATTGTTGCCGATACTTTCAGTTTTCAGTAGCAATGACCAAGTTAACGGTATCCATTTCTTAGAAAGCATAAAACTTTACGCTATTTAAAAGAGTTATTCGGCTTTTTGTAAGTGTTTATTTCATAGGTAAGGAGCAAACACTAAAATTACACTTAAGCATTGTTTTTATGTGAATGGGGGTTCTGCATACGACTATTGTCGCATGCCACATTTAGCATCTCATTTTAATTCTCAATCATCAGTTCGTTCTGCTCGCCAACTCTTCTTAGTAATGGAAATTTCGACCTTTGTGAACAGCCTATTTCCACATCTTCCAACTTCTTTTTTCACTTTTCTAAGATTACTAAAAGGGTTGGTAAAAGACAACAACCTTGCTCTAGTGCTTTGACGGGTTTAGCTCTTCTGAAACATTTTTCCGGCCTTAAATTGAATGATTTATCTATACATATAGCTATTACTAATGCTGACGTAAGTGCTCTTTATTTGCTTTTACTACGTATTTCCAAACGCTTATTTATTAGGAGTAATAAGAACGCCTTCTCCAGGTCCATGAAAAGTTGCAAAAAAAAAAAAATAAAAATGCTTAAAATTTGGTGCAAAGTAACAACGTGGATGATCTAACTAAATTTATATTTGTTTTGTTGTACGTCAGGTAGTTTTTGACATACTACCTTGGTAAATTTAGAACGAAAGATGCGTAAAAATATCACCCCCCCGACAAGCTACAATTCACTCCATTTTCATTATTTCGTTATGAAAATCTGTATCATCACCGTCATTTTCAAATTCAGAAAGTATAGATTCGTACGAAAGATTTCCCATATTTTTCCCAGTCTGCCAAAATAAGTTTTTCACAATGTTTACAAAAATTTTGCCACATGTTTAGAGTACATTTAGAAAGCGCCTCAAGTCATAAATTCTCCACACTATTTTTTAATGAAGGTTGGGAATTTATATGCTTGTTGTAATAGTTCTTACAAAATCCCCACGCCATTTCAATTGGATTATATTGAAAATGGTACGGAGGTAATCTAAGAACTGCATGGCCACTTTCTCTCAATGTCTCGTCTACCAAATATCTTTTTTTTTTCTATTGTTTCTGAAGGGTTTAATTAAATCCCACAATTGTTTCTTCGAAAATTTTTTGTCAAATTTAACACTATGTTTAAACAGCCATTCCTGCATTTCACTTTAAATTTGGAGAAGGGGGGACCATTGGAAAAATTTCACTTTTAATAAAGTTGTCTAAAAATTCAAGGACGTAGATCTCGACATGCTAATTCCAAAAATATAGGATATCGATGGTCACGGAGCAACATTTTCCAAAGAATCGGTACGAAATGCGAATTTTTGAGAATTTCTAAAAATTTCGATATTTCAACGCTCGATTCCGGAAAAACGGTTACAGTTATCAAAGAATCGAGGCCAGAAGTGAGTTCTAGAGCCCGAAATCTACTAGAAAATGTATTTCGTTAAGTTTCGAAAATGTCAAAAATTGGCCAAAATTTGAAGAAGGGGGAACCATAGGAAAAATTTCAGTTTTAAAAAAGTTGCCTAAAAATTCTGAAAAAATTCAGGGATGTAGATTTCGACACGCTGATTCCAAAAATATAGCATATTGATAGTCACGGAGCAACATTTTCGAAAGAATCGGTACGAAATGCGAATTTTTGAGAATTTCTAAAAATTTCGAAATTTCTACGGTCGATTCCGGAAAAACGGTTACAGTTATCAAAGAATCGAGGCCAGAAGTGAATTCTAGAGCTCGAAATCAACCAGAAAATGTATTTAGTTAAGTTTCGAAAATGTCAAAAATTGGTCGAAATTTGAAGAACAAATCTCAACTATTGTAATTGATCTCCATATTTTCGTCGTCCTTTCAAATCAAAAATATTTCTTCGTTCATTAACTGACTTTGACCTCAAACTGTGTCCCTGAGTGGACCAGAAAAATGGCTAAAGTTTGTTTGACCACAAATTGTAATTATTCGACCCCTGTTTACTCAACTATTTATTAAGAGATTTTATTTCTGTAAAGCGCAATGGATTTTTTAAAACAATTTCTACTAATGCACCTTTTGAAAATTTAAAACTGATCCATAAATAGCGAAAACCAGATATTTTCATACTCATCACAATTTTAACGCGTTGTAGCAACTTCTGCACTCAGACAGAGTTGCGAGAGTTATCTGTGCATCATTTCTGAATTCTGACAGTGGATGTAGGTTGTGTTCTCTAAGAGACGGAATCAGCACCACTCTCTGAGGCGTTTCATGTACATATTGTTTGATAGTTTATTTCTCTCCCTCCCTCTCTCTTTCTATAGCCCAGCGTTACATGCCGATGTTCAGGTTGAGTTCAGACCGGTCTCGGTGACCTCGACACCGACACCGAGTTCAAGCTCGTAACTTTAACTCGTAATCCTATTTCGGCACGCATCTATACGTGTTCTATAATACGAAAAGAAAGGAATTAAAACTCCAAAAATTCTGTTAACTATTTTAAAAACGTTTGTTGTCCTTTAATAGGCCACTATTACTAGTAAAATAGATGCAAACACCCTTATTGAAGTTTATTTATTCGACTCACTGTGATTTTTGCACGAAATCTATTTTTCTGTTTATTCAAAGGTAAGCAATCCATTTTGAGAAAGGAGTACCCAATAGTGTTACACTAAATGTGTTTCAAGTTAAACTTCAAAACATGGCTGCAAATGGGATTTCTTTTTCTAGTTCGGAGCTAGAATATTATATTTTCCATACTTTGTTTCTTATAGTAACCATAATACGTTACGTTAAAACACACGGATTTATTATTGTAAATTTTATTGTAAAATTACAAGAAGAAATGTAATGGACAATAAGAAGGACGATGTATAATAATCTAAAGATGTTCGTGGCACACTGGTGCCGGTAGAATTCGGTCCCGTGTAATACAGAAATTGTCCGGTGTTACAAAGATCTGTGTCACAATGAACACATACCATGTCTGAATCGTTAAAACACGCGTTCATGACAACATCACCTATATAATAGCATCCTTTATCGACTACTAGACCATTGTCGGCTATAAATTGTATCAGTGGTAAATTTATGCATTTCAAAGTTCATTTTGCACTTACAAAATATGCGGTTTTTAGTCATACACACGTATGTTTTGTTGGGATTATAATGATGATAAAATTTTCCGCATTTTTCTGTTTTAATGGGATCCGTGCATTTACTGTCACAATAGTAACATTCTGTCGGTTCCGTTTTCTCAGATGGTGCTAGACACAGCAGAATGATCAAGGCTGAAACAAAAATTGCTTCAAAGCGGGACATTCTTGGACCGAACGGTTTTATTGTAAAATTTGATGACAGTTTTCTTTCGAAAATTAAAAAAAAAACAAACAAGCAAAACAAAAGTTGACATATCTATGTGAAATTTTGTTTTACGAATGTTACACGACAAAGCCGTCCTAGACAAAAATGATTCTAGAAGAATATAAGTTTATCCCCTGGTTTACTTATTTCCGTTCTTCAGAGCATAAAAGCCCTACGTTACACGGTTTTCGACAAACCTTCGACGGTGTATTGCCGAACCTTTGCTACAAAACGTCTAGTAGTCGTCTTTTTTTACGCCGTTCCGGTACGACGCCTATGGGTTTTCTTGAGAGCTTTCTAGTATGTACGGCGATGATGGGTGACTCATCGTCGGTGATGGCGGCCGGATGGCGTTCGCTAAAGAAAACCCTGGAAGTGGAAGTCGCGATGGGTACTCCAGAAAGCCTCAATCGCGGAATATCTAGAAGGGAAGTTTGGGTGTCTTCAAGCTGCGCCGAAATTCTTTTGTAGATAATCGCTGTAAATTTGTGGTACCGAGAAATAAATTGTTGAGTTTTACCCACACCGACTTTAATTACCGATTAACGTAACACACTGGTGTCAGAACTGAGATTCAAGATTAATAATTGTTGGTTTCACAGAGGTTTACGGACAGATTGGACAAGAATTCTGAAGATTGATGCCTGTTGAGACTAGAGCTCCAGCTGCGAAAATGGAAAACACAAGTGAAACAAATCATGGCTATGCTGCACAGATGGACGCAAGAGATGAGAAAATGAATGCAACGGTAGAAGTAATGAACGAAAAAATGACTAGCAAAAAGATGACATAATCACCAGCTTATCTGCAGGAATAGAAGCAAACAAGAATAAAAGAGAAGAAATTAAATAACGATCGAAAGTTATGGAAAATATTGTCGGACGAAATATGGTCTCACTGGACGAAAAATTAAAAGAAGTCGAGCATCAGTTAAGAAGTGAGTTAGAGAAATCAGCGCAACAATGCGTGGAAGATCGAATGAAAACTATAGAAAATCGAATGAAGAAAGAGATAATCCAATCAAGTTGACCGGAATTATTTTGCATGTAGTCGTTCTGTCGTGTAAATGTGTTACTGAGAAATAAATTGTTGAATTTTACCGACGTCGATATTTAATCAGAGATCATCGTAACAATACAATATTCCGAGTTCCAGGCACATTCATGGATGCAAAATGACATTTCTCTTTCTAGCTCGGAGCTGTTGGGACTGTAAGTAAGACTTTATTATATTCTACTCTGTTTTTCATAGTGATGATATTACGTTACCTTAAAACAAACGGATTTAATACTGTAAATTTTATTGTAAAATTACAAGAAGAAGCGTAGTGGACAATAAGAAGGGCGATGAATAATCTAAAGATGTTCGTGGCATACTGATGCCAGTAGAATTCGGTCCCGTGTAATACAGAAATTGTCCGGTGTTACAAAGATCTGTATCACAGTGAACGCATACAATGTCTGAATAGTTATGGCAAGAGTTCATGAAATAATCACCCATATAGTAGCATCCTTTCTCGACGACTAGACGATTGGCTACAAATTGTATAGATCATAAATTTATGCATTTTAAAGTACACTTACGAGATAGGCGGTTTTTGGTCGCACACACGTATGTTCTGTTGGGATTATTATAATAAGAAGATCCGCATTTTTCTATTTTAATAGGATCCGTGCATTTTCTGCTGCATCTGTAACATTCCGTCGGTTCCGTTTTTTCAGATGGTGCCAGACACAGCAGAATGATCAAGGCTGAAACAAAAATTGCTTCAAGGCGGGACATTCTTGGACCGAACGGTTTTATTGTAAAATTTGATGACAGTTTTCTTTCGAAAATTAAAAAAAAAATAAACAAGCAAAACAAAAGTTGACATATCTAGGTATGTGAAATTTTGTTTTACGAATGATACACGACAAAGCCGTCCTAGACAAAAATGATTCCATAAGAATATAATTTTCACCTACAATTTAATTTTGAATCTGCAAAACCGAATGCTTTGAAATCTTACAGATGTTTTAAACATATGATAAACATAATAAATTTTTATTCAAAATACATTTACTTATCCCCTCCAAAAATTGATGACGTCAGCCCAAAATTTTACCAAATGAATTCTATCTAAAATGTGCAAAATATCATCAATATACATATATTCGTAATTTATCAATGCATTCATATTTTTTAGATTTGATTTTACAGTGACTCAATAAAATGTATGGATCAGTCAATTTATTTTATTGAATAACTCAAGAGTTGCACTAATGAATACTTTGAGGTCTTGCAGACGTTTTAAAGTTATTGTAATAATGGTAAATTGTTAATAATATTTATTTATTCCCCTCAAAAAATTGATGGAACGACTCACTCGATTTTCGCAGTTAATTTTGGGAATACAATACAGTTATTTTTAGTATTACACTGCACCATTCCAAGGTGGTAGGTACACGTGTTGATCGTAAATGTTGATTAGGTTATCACAAAATTGTGTGAAGAAAAGACTCAACTCGAAAATGCTGAATATGTTTTATTATATTTTTGGTGCGAAGGAAGTTCTGTCGAAACAACGTTCGATCAATTTTTTGTCAATGGTTGATATAAATAAAACTCAGTAGATGCTCATACTCGAAATACGAAGTGTCTACTCGAATATCAAATCAAAATATTTCTAGTTTTTCTAGATGATGCTAATACTTCAGTAGGTAACAGCTGATGCTCAAGTAGCATCTCGATACAACAAAAATGATACAATATAGAAGATTAAAAAATGGGGGTTGGTGGTAGAAAGGTGAAAATTTAGGGTTGTGTATATTTTTGATGCCAAATTTTAAAAAAATAAAAATAAAAAATTTTGTCCAAAAAATAAATAACAATTGTTTAGGGTGTGCCACCTTTATCACTCAGGGGTACAAAATTTGGTTTACAACCTATGCTCAGATCTACCGAATATACAAAAAAATTTCATACAAATCGGTCAACCTATTTCGGGGGAGTTCGGTTACAAACACTGTGATGCGAGAATTTTATACATAATGCATTATTATTTTAGAACAAATTTCATTACCATAAAAAAGGTTATACTGCGTCGACCTTAGAAAATAGACATATGCTGTCGCGAACTTTTCTTTAGAACTTTTAGAGGGGAACAATTTCGTCATACATGATTTTTACCTAACTTTAACCGTTTAAGCAGCGTAAGCAACGGAAGCTGTCAAATGAGGAATAATTTTCCCATTTTTCCGAATTTTTCATTGCTACTTCGCTCCTATTGATCGTAGCGTGATGTTATATAGCCTATATGTAGATACGATAAATGGACTATCCAACACAAAAAGATTTTTTGAATTCGAACCAGTAGTTTCTGAGATTAGCACGTTTAACTAAATAAACACTTCAGTTTATAATATAAAGTGTAGATATTGTTACGAAATAAATTTTTGAGTTTACCCACGCCAATTTAATTCGCCTGAACAACGTAACAATATAATTAAAGATCTGGGTGAGTATTTGGACGTGTCCACTGGAGAGCAACTGTCACGAGAGTTTTGGTTTTGATTTTATACTTTTCTATTATGTTCCATTAAAGTGCTGAAGGTAGAACGATGTTAGGTTGTGTGAGAAAAGGATCAGGTCATCTTTCGTTTGTTATGGTCCTTAGTGTTCTCTGTAATTCACTCAGCGTTAGATCGTCACTGAAACATAACACTAAACTCTGGTCGCCGCTTTATGTTACCTATGTTTTTTTGGTATCTCTGCTTAGCGCTTAGAAGCACAGAAATTACCATATCTAGTGCTTTCTTTCTAAGTTGGTTAATGATTTAATACATGTTACATTTGTAGGTAAGTAACTACCATATTCTATTTTTCTGATAGTGACAATAATATGTTACATTAAAACACACGGATTTATTACTGTAAATTTTATTGTAAAATCACAAGAAAAAACGTAATGGACAGTAAGATGGACGACGAATAATAATTTAAAGATGTTCGTGGCACACTGGTGCCAGTAGAATTCGGTCCCGTGTAATACAGAAATTGTCCGGTGTTACAAAGATCTGTGTCACAGCCAACGCATACAAGGTCTGAACTGTTATGGCACGTGTTCATGAAATAATCTCCCAGCTGAAAGCATCCTTTTTCGACGAATAGGCGATCGGCTACAAATTGCATAGATGGTAAATTAATGGATTTCAAAGTAAATTTCGCACTTACAAGTTAGGCGGTTTTGGGTCGCACAAACGTACGTTTTGTTATCATCAGAAGCGTGTCGGCATTTTTCTGTTTTAATAGGATCCGTGCATTCTCTTTTGCATTTGTAACATTCTGTCGGTTCTGTTTTTTCAGATGGTGCCAGACACAGCAGAATGATCAAGGCTGAAACAAAAGTCGCTGGAAGGCGGGACATTCTTGGATCGAAAGGATTTATTGTAAAATTTGATGACAGTTTTCTTGCGAAAATTAAAAAACCATAAACAATAAAAAAAACTTGACGTATCTATGTGAAATTTTGTTTTACAGTGAGTTCTAGAACTCGAAATCTACCAGAAAATGTATTTACTTATGTTTCGAAAATGTCAAAAATTGGCCGAAATTTGAAGAAGGGGGGAGCATTGGAAAAATTTCACTTTTAAAAAGTTGTCTAAAAATTCTGAAAAAATTCAGGGACGTAGATCTCGACATGCCGATTACAAAAATATAGGCTGTCGATGGTCACATAGCAACATTTTCGAAAGAATCGGTACGAAATGCGAATTTTTGAGAATTTCTAAAATTTCGATATTTCAATAGTTGCAGTTATCAAAAAAACAAGGCCCGAAGTGAGTTCTAGAGCCCCAAATATTGTACTTTGCTTCAGATAATAATGACGTTAAAATACACGAATTTATTACTGCAAATTTTATTGTAAAATCATAAGAAGAAACGTAATAGACAATAGTACGAGGGACGAATAATTTAAAGACGTTTGTGGCACACTGGTACTAGTAGAATTCGGTCCTTTGTAATATAAAAATTGTCCGGTGTTGCAAAGATCTGTGTCACAGTGAACGCACACAAGGTCTGAATCATTATAGCAGGCGTTCATGAAATAATCACCCAACTGAAAACATCCTTTATAGACGGTTAGACCCTCAGCTAGAAATTGTAGACATGGTAAATTTATGCATTCCAAAAATTATTTTGCACTTACGAAATAGAAGGTTTTTGGTTGCACAAACGTACGTTTTGTTATCATCAGAAGCACGTCGGCATTTTTCTATTTTAATAGGATCCGTGCATTTTCTGCTGCATTTGTAACATTCTGTCGGTTCCGTTTTTTCAGATGGTGCTAGACACAGCAAAATGAGCAAGGCTGAAACAAAAATAGCTTGAAAGCGGGACATTTTTGGACCGAAAGGTTTTATTGTAAAATTAAAAAAAAAAATAAACAAGCAAAACAAAAGTTGACATATCTATGTGAAATTTTGTTTTACGAATTTTACACGACATAGCCGTCCTAGACAAAAATGATTCCATAAGAATCAGCCCCGTAGCTACGGGGGGGCAAGAGGGGGCTGAGCCCCCCCTAGCAGTTGTGGTTGCCCCCCCTGGAAGACTTATACATTATAAATTTCAAATTAGTAATAAAATTTCAATATAATGCCGATTGCCGAAGCATATTAACTGGCCCCACCCGCCCCACCTTTATTTTCGTACAGGGTATATTATTTGGCAATATCACCTTACCGTTGATGTTGACCGTATAAAAAAATGAACATGTCACATTTTATTCCATAGCCTACTATGTAGGTACTTGAGAAAAGTCAAAAATATTATATGGATTTTCTAAAAATTGAGCTTTTATTGAAATGGACAAAAAATAGACAAAAAATTCTGAGATGTAGATCTCGATGAGCTTAATCAAAAAACATAAGGTCTTGATGGTCCCAGACCAAGATTTTTCAAAAATTCGGTTCCAAAGTCGACATTTCAAAATTTCTCAAAAATTACATTTCTTTTGGCGGCTTTGGAAAAATTGTACAAATTTTCGAGAAAATAAAACCAAAAACAACATTTGGAGATCGAAATCGATAAAGAGATCCCTTTTGCTAATTTTCGAAAACGGTTGGGAAAAGTCATAAACATTTTATAGATTTTCAAAAATTTAGCTTTTGTTGAAGTTGACTAAAAATCCACAAAAAAATCTGAAATGTTGATCTCGACGAGCTCAATCAAAAAACACAAGGTCTAGATGGTCCCAGATCAAGATTTTCGAAACATTCGGTTTCAAAGTTCAAAAATTACATTTCGTTTGGCGATTGCTGAAAAATTTTACGACTTTTCAACCAAATAAAACCAAAAACAACATCTGGAGATCGAAATCAATAAAGGAATCCCTTTTGGTAATCTCGAACGTGCTTGAAAAAAGTCAAAAATTTGATACAGGTTTTCAAAAATTGCCATATTTCTTCCGTCGAGTCTGGAAAAATTGTAAGAATTTTCAAAAAAATTGAATCCAAAACGATTTTTGGAAATCGAGATGAACAAAGGAGTCTCTTTTGATAATTTTTAAAAATGCTTGGGAAAAGTCAAAAATTTTATATGGGTTTTCAAAAATTGAACTTTCGTAAAAGTTGACAAAAAATTCTGAAATATTGATTTCGACGAGCTTAAAAAACATGACAGGTTCATTGTTCCGGATCAAAATTTTCGAAATTCTCGGTTTCGAGCTCGAATTTTCAAAATTTCTCAAAAATTACCATATTTCTTTTGGCGATTGTGGAAAAATTGTACGAATTTTCGAAAAAATAACCAAAAACAACATCTGCAGATCAAAATCAATAAAGGAATCCCTTTTGGTAATCTCGAACGTGCTTAAAAAAAAGTCAAAAATTTGATACAGGTTCTCAAAAATTGCCATATTTCTTCCGTCGATTCTGGAAAAATTGTAAGAATTTTCAAAAAAATTGAGTCCAAAACGATTTTTGGAAATCGAGATGAACAAAGGAGTCTCTTTTGATAATTTTTAGAAATGCTTGGGAAAAGTCAAAAATTTTATATGGGTTTTCAAAAATTGAACTTTCGTAAAAGTTGACAAAAAATTCTGAAATATAGATTTGGACGAGCTTAAAAAAACATGACAGGTTCATGGTTCCGGATCAAAATTTTCGAAATACTCGGTTTCGAGCTCGAATTTTCAAAATTTCTCAAAAATTACCATATTTCTTTTGGCGATTGTGGAAAAATTGTACGAATTTTCGAAAAAACAACCAAAAACAACATCTGGAGATCGAAATCAATAAAGGAATCCCTTTTGGTAATTTCGAATGTGCTTGAAAAAAGTCAAAAATTTGACACAGGTTCTCAAAAATTGCCATATTTCTGTCGTCGATTCTGGAAAAAAAGTAAGAATTTTCAAAAAAATTGAATCCAAAACGATTTCTGGAAATCGAGATGAACAAAGGAATCTCTTTTGGTAATTTTCGAAAATGCTTGGGAAAAGCCAAAAATTTTATATGGGTTTTCAAAAATTGAACTTTCGTAAAAGTTGACAAAAAATTCTGAAATATTGATTTCGACGAGCTTAAAAAAACATGACAGGTTCAAGGTTCCGGATCAAAATTTTCGAAATACTCGGTTTCGAGCTGGAATTTTCAAAATTTCTCAAAAATTACCATATTTCTTTTGGCGATTATGGAAAAATTGTACGAATTTTCAAAAAAACAACCAAAAACAACATCTGGAGATCGAAATCAATAAAGGAATCCCTTTTGGTAATTTCGAATGTGCTTGAAAAAAGTCAAAAATTTGAGACAGGTTCTCAAAAATTGCCATTTTTCTTCCGTCGATTCTGCAAAAAATGTAAGAATTTTCAAAAAAATTGAATCCAAAACGATTTTTGGAAGAAATCGAGATGAACAAAGGAATTCTTTTGGTAATTTTCGAAAATGCTTGGGAAAAGTCAAAAATCTTATATGGGTTTCCAAAAATTGAGCTTTTGTTAAAGTTGACAAAAAATTCTGAAATACACATCTCGACGAGTTTAAAAAAACATGACGAGTTCATGGTTCCGTACCAAAATTTTCGAAATATTTGGTTTCGAAGTCGGTTTTTTAAAATATGTACTAAACATGCAAAAAAATAAACTCAAACAAATTGGATGTTACCTATATGGTCACTACACAAATTTTTGGATGCAGTACAGCTGTTTGTGAATCTACATTCTCTGTTTTAACCAGCATTTTAACCAAGTACCGTACTAATTTTTTGGACTTCGACAGGTTTTTACGAAAAATTATGCGTGAAAAAACGACGTTTCCAATTATTTTAATGTTCTTTCAAATATAAAAACTCAGAAAAAATAAAGTAGTTATCTGAGTGTATTATTAAAATATAAATATTTACATGAAGCCCCCTCTGTTTACAAACTTGCCCCCCCTGAATAAGTTTTCTAGCTACGGGGCTGATAAGAATATAATTTTATTGCCTGGTTTACTTACTTCCTTTCATCCTTAGGCAACCTGGTTTTCGAAAAATTCATTAGGAAGAAATGAAACGCAATGAAGCACAGTGATTTTGCTACGGATTTATTATAAATAAATTGATGCGAGTCATCTTTTCTTTAAACTTAATTTCATTTCGAAATTTGTATGTTGTCGTAATAGCATCCACTTGAAGAATGGTTAATTTAATGGTCCTAGTAGCCACCAATTAGCAACGTTATAATGTGGACTCGCAACTCCAAAAATTGTTTGTTTTTAATCAAAACTTTGTAGATGTGTTAAGGAATTGATGTTATTAGTATGGTAGATCAAATTTTAGACTCATTTTATTTACTGTAAATTAAACAATTCCAACAATGTTGAAAAGTCACATTACAAAGAACCTCATGTCAATCAGCAATAAAACAAAACCATTCCACGCAAATGTGAATCGCTTGGAAGATTTGCTTTCTGATATTTGGCTACACTATTGATTGATTCATTATGATTTTTGTATAATGCACAACACTGTCATCACAGGTACAAAAAAAAATCTAGGAATTTCTGAGGTGAGTTCCTCGTAACGCTGCTTTCATAAAATAATGAAGCATCACATCATGATTCATATCAGCAGCTTTCTAAACATGATGAAAAGTTTTACGACCAAAAAGGACTGTCTGCAGACAAGCCGAGAAAAGTAGAAAACGTAGGCTTAAAATTATGCAGACTATTTTATTTGACGAATCAGAATTTTTTAGGTACACCATGTTAATTTCGTTTCCCTTTTGAGACCGAATAGCCACTTTTTAAACCATTTCTTATAAACAAATCTCAACCATTGTAACTGATCTCCATATTTTCGTCGTCCTTTCAAATCAAAAATATTTCTTCGTTCATTAACTGACTTTGACCTCAAACTGTGTCCCTGAGTGGACCAGAAAAATGGCTAAAGTTTGTTTGACCACAAATTTTAAATATTCGACCCCTGTTTACTCAACTATTTATTAAGATATTTTATTTCTGTAAAGCGCAATGGATTTTTTGATACAATTTCTACTAATGTACCTTTTGAAAATTTAAAACTGATCCATAAATAGCGAAAACCAGATATTCTCATACTCATCACAATTTTAACGCGTTGTAGCAACTTCTGCACTCAGACAGAGTTGCGGGAGTTATCTGCGCATCATTTCTGCATCCTGAGGGTCGTTGTGGTTTAGATATTATAGTCTTTGAATTCTGACAGTGGATGTAGGCTGTGTTCTCTAAGAGATGGAATCAGCACCACTCTCTGACGCGTTTCATGTCCATATTGTTTGATAATTTATTTCTCTTGCTCTCTTTCTCTTTCTATAGCCCAGCGTTACATGCCGATGTTCGGACTGAGTTCAGACCGGTCTCGGTGACCTCGACACCGACACCGACACCGAGTTCGAGCTCGTAACTTTAACTCGTAATCCTATTTCGGCACGCATCGTATACGTGTTCTATAATACGAAAAGAAAGGAATTAAGACTCCGAAAATTCTGTTAACTATTTTAAAAACTTTTGTTGTCCTTTAATAGGCCACTATGTTGTATTACGAATTTAAAATGTGAATTCTGAATAAGAGGAAAAGATACTTCATACTTGGCGGATTCTCCAACTTAGCTATTTATAAGAATTACTAGTACCTAAAATAGATGCAAAAACGCTTATTAAAGTTTATTTATTCGACTCACTGTGATTTTTTGCACGAAATCTATTTTTCAGTTTATTCAAAGGTAAGCAATCCATTTTGAGAACGGAGTACCCAATAGTGTTACACTAAATGTGTTTCAAGTTAAACTCCAAAACATGGCTGCAAATGGGATTTCTTTTTCTAGCTCGGAGCTAGAATATTATATTTTCCATATTTTGTTTCTTATAGTGATGATAATACGTTAAAACACACGGATTTGTTATTGTAAATTTTATTGTAAAATCACAAGAAGAAGCGCAAGGGACAATAAGAAGGACGATGTATAATAATCTAAAGATGTTCGTGGCACACTGGTGCCAGTAGAATTCGGTCCCGTGTAATATAGAAATTGACCGGTGTTACAAAGGTCTGTGTCACAGCGAACGCATACCATGTCTGAATCGTTAAAGCACGCGTTCATGAAAAAACTACCCATATAAAAGCATCCTTTTTCGACTACTAGACCCTTGACGGCTATAAATTGTATACGTGGTAAATTTATGCATTTCAAAGTTCATTTTGCACTTACAAGATATGCGGTTTTTAGTCACACACAGGTATGTTCTGTTGGGATTATTATGATAAGAAGATCCGCATTTTTGTGTTTTAATAGGATCCGTGCATTTACCGTCGCAATAGTAACATTCTGTGGGTTCCGTTTTCTCAGATGGTGCTAGACACAGCAGAATGATCAAGGCTGAAACAAAAATTGCTTCAAGGCGGAACATTCTTGGACCGAACGGTTTTATTGTAAAATTTGATGACAGTTTTTTTTGGAAAATTAAAAAAAAAAACAAACAAGCAAAACAAAAGTTGACATATCTAGGTATGTGAAATTTTGTTTTACGAATGATACACGACAAAGCCGTCCTAGACAAAAATGATTCCATAAGAATATAAGCTTATCCCCTGGTTTACTTATTTCCGTTCTTCAGAGCATAAAATAAGCCCTACGTAACACGGTTTTCGACAAACCTTCGACGGTGTATTGCCGAACCTTTGCTACAAAACGTCTAGTAGTCGTCTTTTTTACGCCGTTCCGGTACGACGCCTATGGGTTTTCTTGAGAGCTTTCTACTATGTACGGCGATGATGGGTGACTCATCGTCGGTGATGGTGACCGGATGGCGTTCACTAAAGAAAACGCTGGAAGTGGAAGTCGCGATGGGTACTCCAGAAAGCCTCAATCGCGGAATATCTAGAAGGGAAGTTTGGGTGTCTTCAAGCTGCGCCGAAATTCTTTTGTAGATAATCGCTGTAAATTTGTGATACCAAGAAATAAATTGTTGAGTTTTACCCACACCGACTTTAATTACCGATTAACGTAACACTGGTGTCAGAAGTGAGATTCAAGATTAATAATTGTTGGTTTTACAAAGGTTTACGGACAGATTGGACAAGAATTCTGAAGATTGATGCCTGTTAAGACTAGAGCTCAAGTTGCGAAAATGGAAAACACAGGTGAAACAAATCATGGCTATGCTGCACAGATGGACGCAAGAGATGAGAAAATGAATGCAACAGTAGAAGTAATGAACGAAAAAATGACTAGCAAAAAGATGACATAATCACCAGCTTATCTGTGGGAATAGAAGCAAACAAGGATAAAATAGAAGAAATTAAATAACGATCGAAAGTTATGGAAAATATTGTCGGACGAAATATGGTCTCACTGGACGAAAAATTAAAAGAAGTCGAGCATCAGTTAAGAAGTGAGTTAGAGAAATCAGCGCAAGAATGCGTGGAAGATCGAATGAAAACTATAGAAAATCGAATGAAGAAAGAGATAATCCAATCAAATTGCGCAGGAATTATTTTGTAAGTAGTCGTTGTGTCGTGTAAATGTGTTACTGAGAAATAAATTGTTGAATTTTACCGACGCCGATATTTAATCAGAGATCATCGTAACAACACAATATTCCAAGTTCCAAGCACATTCATGGATGCACAATGACATTTCTCTTTCAAGCTCGGAGCTATTGGGACTGTAAGTAAGACTTTATTATATTCTACTTTGTTTTTCATAGTGATGATGATGTTACGTTAAAACAAACGGATTTATTACTGTAAATTTTATTGTAAAATTACAAGAAGAAACGTAACGCACAATAAGATGGACGATGAATAACCTAAAGAAGTTCGTGGCACACTGGTGCCAGTAGAATTCGGTCCCGTGTAATACAGAAATTGTCCGGTGTTACAAAGATCTGTGTCGCAGTGAATGCATACAATGTCTGAGCTGTTATAGCACGCGTTCATGAAAACATCACCCAAATAAAAGCATCCTTTTTCGATCACTAGACGATCGGCTACAAATTGTATAGATGGTAAATTTATGCATTTCAAAGTACATTCTAAACTTACAAGTTAGGCGGTTTTTATTCGCACACACGTATGTTCTGTTGGGATTATAATTAAAATAAGATTTTCCGCATTTTTCTGTTTTAATAGGATCCGTGCATTCTCTGTTGCAAGAGTAACATTCTGTCGGTTCCGTTTTCTCAGATGGTGCTAGACACAGCAGAATAATCAAGGCTGAAACAAAAATTGCTTGAAGGCGGAACATTCTTGGACCGAACGGTTTTGTTGTAAAATTTGATGAGTTTTTTACGAAAATTAAAGAAATAAACAAGCAAAACAAGTTGACACATCCATGTGAAATTTTGTTATACGACAAAGCCGTCTTAGAGAAAAATAATTCCATAAGAATTATTACCTACTTACGTACTACCAGAGTTGTCGAAAAACCTTGTACGGTGTATTGCCGGACCTTTCCTATAAAACGTTTATTAGTTGTCTTGTTTTTGTAAATGTTTATTATAATTGTATTTTTCTGTTTTTGAATCACACCATTAGTCATAATTTATTTCTAATTTCTTTTTTTTACTTCCCGAGCCTAAGCTAAGGAAGTATCTATCGTAATAAGATCCATCCATCAAAGGGGTCTTTCTCCCAATTCAGAATATATAAGATAGCATATAAAGACACCAACGGCAAAATCAGAGGAGCTGGAAGAGCCATTTATCACCCTAGTCGAAAGTGAGCTACCTGACCGTTTTTCAAACTATCTGCTCCATGATTAAACTATAAATTTTTTTAAAATTTAGAAGTATATGTTGGACCTAGTGATTCAGTTTTCTATGCCCGTGACCGTATATAAACAAAAAAAGATAAGCAACAGTCGTTGTCGTTGATTTTTCGAAAATCATGTTGCCTACTGATTATTAACCCTGAAGAACGGAAGTAGGTAAACCAGCGAATAAATTATATTCTTATGGAATAATTTTTGTCTAGGACGGCTTTGTCGTGTAACATTCGTAAAACAAAATTTCACGTAGATATGTCAACTTTTGTTTTGCTTGTTTTACAATAAAATCGTTTGGTCCAAGAATGTCCCGCCTTCAAGCAGTTTTTGTTTTAGCCTTGATCATTTTGCTGTGTCTAGCACCATCTGAAAAAACGGAACCGACAGAATGTTACTATTGCAACAGAAAATGCACGGATCCTATTAAAATAGAAAGATGCCGATCTGTTTATGATGATAACAAAACGTACGTTTGTGCGAACAAAAACCTTCTATTTCGTAAGTGCAAAATATGCTTTGAAATTGATAAATTTACCATCTCTACAATTTCTAGCCGAGGGTCTAACCGTCTATAAAGGATGTTTTCAGTTGGGTGATATTTTCATGAACTCGTGCCATAACAGCTCAAACATTGTATGCGTTGGCTGCGACACGGACCTTTGTAACACCGGACAATTTCTGTATTACACAGGACCGAATTCTACTGGCACCAGTGTGCCACGAACATCTTTAGATTATTCGTCGTCCTTCTTATTGTCCATTACGTTTCTTCTTGTGATTTTACAATAAAATTTACAGTAACAACTTCGTGTGTTTAAACGTAACGTATATCATCATTATTAGAAACAAATTAGAATATGGTAGATACTTACCTGCAGTTTCAACAGCTCCGAGCTAGAAAGAGAAATGAATAACCTTTAATGAGTGTTTTTGCAACACATGGATATTTATTTTACTAGTTAGGTACTTTTTAAATAGCAATGTTGGAGGATCCGTCAAGCAACAAGTAAGTTTTTCTCCTATTCAGAATTTTAAATTCCTAATAGAACAGAGTGACGTATTAAAAGAAACTTCCTCAGTCTCTGCCAAATAACTAAAACAATATGCAGAACCATTAGAAAAAGTATCTGAAAAAACGCTGAAGACTTTCGTAAATAACGACGAAAAACGAAAATTTTCCGAAGCTGATATAAAAAACTTTAGAAATTACTACGAATCGAAGGACCAAGACGACCATCGAATAAGAATTGAAAAGTAATTCCCAAAAGAGATTCATAAAGAATCACTTAAACGCACGACAAAGAATTCTGGATATGATCCAAACACCAGACCAAACCGTCGAGATCCACGAAAAGACAATCAATAAATTTCTCGCTGGCGAAATATTCGAAAAGGAGGACATGCTTGAAGAAGCGAAAAAACAGACGGGGACGTACAATCACGATTTCGAGAAGCAGTTTCGTCTAATCGAAAATTTTGAAAATTTTGACGTCGCATTGGAAGACTTTCAAATTGAAACCGAACAACTCCACGTTCTAGTTTATGGGAAACCAATCAAGAGGTGGGTGATGATTTGCGTCGTCCAGGAGAGCGTGGAGGACAACGTTAAAACTACGCTATTTTATAAAGATCCATGCGGAGATAAAATGCCTTCACGATTGTTCGATAGACTTAAAGAAAAGTACGCCAGTGTCGAAGTTATTAACAACGAAATTCAACAGCAACAAGTCGACGATGAACCTTCATATGGCCCTTCAACTTTACGGAATATTGGAATTCTTCTCAAACATTGGAACGATAAGAAAAATAAATTATCTGATTTTCCTACGATACTATTTCCGTTTTTGGACGATCTCAAAAACCGACAGTTGAAATTCGTCATAGAAGAGAGTGACGTATTAAAAGAAAATAAACGATTTTTAGAAGAATTAAAAGGATTTCTTGGGGGACTTCCTCTATCTCTAGTCAAACAAGGAAAAGAATACGCACAAACATTAGAAAATGGATCTGAAAAAGACATAGAAGACTTTCGTCCTGCGGAAAATAAAGATGGAAGACGAAATTTTTCCGAAGATAAAATACAAAAATTTAAAAATTACTACGAATCCAAGGACCAAGACGACCATGGAATAAGAATTCAGAAGGAATTCCCAGAAGAGATTGATAAACTGAACAACATCTTTAAAATTCTCGGGCAGATGAAGGTTGACAAAAATCTGCTGGCAATTTTGCGGACCATCAGCGACAAATTAGAGATAAAGTATGACAACCTTAGAAGTTTTTATGAACAGCAAATCGGACCAGCTGAACAAGAAGAAAGCGAAAGAAAACTTGCGTCAGACGATATCGACGAGATAGCCAAAAATTTGCCCGAAATGAAGACGGGATCAGAATGCCTCGACTGCGCGACATTAGATCAAATAATGGCGGAGGTCGTGATCGGGATGGACAGAGTGGACTCTACGACCGAAGTGGACGAAGATGGCGACGACGACGACGACGAATATGAGAAGAATCACCTAAGTTCCCTTGATGAGGGAACAGGTTAAATTTTATTGTGAACTTGCTAACCAAAATCAAATCAGTGCAGCTTATCTTAAACATCAAAAAAAAGTATACGCTAAAGAATTGGCTAAAGCAAAAAAATCTTACAATGACAATTATATTAACAATTCTTTGAATAAGCAAAAAGCAATGTGGCAGATTATAGATTCTGAAAGCAAAATAAAGAGTATTGAAAGTACAAACATTATCTCATGTGAAGATTTTAACAATTACTTCATAAATTTGAGTTCAAATTTGCAGGGAAATATTCCAACACTTGGACAAGATTTCCGATCGTACTTAACTTCAGATTACGATGCAAGTTTCACTTTTAAGGATGTCACTTTTAATGAAGTCCGTGATATAGTTTCAAAAATGAAAAATTCTAAAAGTAAAGATACTGATAATATATGCATATTAATGTTAAAAACAATTTTAAATCTTATTGTTATTCCAATGACAAAGGTAATAAACCACTGCATACAAGAGCATACGTTTCCAATACAACTAAAAGTAACTAAAGTTGTACCGATTCTTAAAAAACAAGGGGATATTAATTCCACAAAAAATTACCGTCCCATCTCATTGGTACCAATATTTGGTAAAATATTTGAAACGATATTGAAAAATCAGTTAAGCGAATTCTTTGAAAGTTTATCACTCTTCAATTATTCACAATTTGGTTTCCGCAATAAGAGATCAACAACTCTAGCTACAAATTCGTTATGCTCGGAGATACTAAGGGCTTTCGAACAAAAACAAAATTCTTTATTAAGTGTATTTGATTTGCAAAAAGCATTTGACACTGTTTGTCATGATATATTATTATACAAGTTAAAATATTATCTTCGTTCTGAAAACAGCTTAAAATTGATCAGATCTTATTTGACTGACAGACAACAATATGTATATTTCAATAATTCAGCATCATCTAAGCAAAAATTAGTTGCAGGAGTGCCGCAGGGGTCAGTGCTTGGGCCATTTTTATTTTTGGTTTATATTAATGATATATCAAATCTAACTTTAGATGGTAAATTGGTTTTATTTGCAGATGATACGTCAGTTTTAATTTCTGGGAAAGATATTTACAGAATAAATGAAATGTCAAGTGAAGCCGAAACACAAATAAGTAACTGGTTCTCAGCGAACAAATTGTTAGCCAATAAAGACAAAACGCAACATTTACTTTTTTCACTTTCAAGTGAGATTAATAAAAATGACTACGTAAAATTTCTTGGTTTCTATCTTGATGGGAAATTGACCTGGGAGATTCATATTGATCATATGTTAAAAAAATTGGCAACTAAATTATTTCTGCTCCGGAAGCTTTATAGTGTTGTTTCTCAAAATATTCTTGTTACTGCTTATTTTGGCACAATTCACAGTATTATCTCTTATGGTATACTCATTTGGGGTCATTCTGCCCATGCTGGAAGGATATTCGCTTTTCAGAGAAAATGTGTTAGGGTTATTGGTGGACTCGGATACAGAGAAGATTGTCGACAATTGTTTACAAAATATGGTATTATTACAGTTCCGTGTGAATTTATATTGCAATGTCTTTTATTTATTTATCAAAACCAAGCGAATTATGGCTCTGGCGAACATGAATACGCCACTCGATATAGGCATTTGTTGCGAAATGATTTCATTAGACTTAAAAGATCTAAAAATAGCATTGCTCACTATTGTGTGGAATTTTACAACGCGGTACCTACTGCAATGAAAAAGGCTAATCTCAATCAATTTAAAGTATGTATTAAGAAAATACTGATCCAAAATGCATTTTTCTCGTTTGAAGAATTTTTTCAATTTATGAAATCAATGCAAAACTAATGTGCTTTTCCTTTGTTAGTTATGATTTAGTATTAAGCTTTTGTTAATTATTTTATGACGTGTGTAAATATTTTGTATGGTAACACAAATATATATTACTATTACTATTACTATTACTAAAAGCAAAATACTTCGCTGTCGAGGAAGCGTACGAAGCGGTATGGAAGGACAGGACCATTAGCGATATACACGCGTGGGCGGTGAAAACCAAAGGTCGACTAGATACTTCGGAGGAGAGCGTTTGCGAAGCGATCGCGATTATGGACCGTGCCTTCAACTTAGTAACGGGAGGCTACCGCTTGAGGATCCCGCAAATACTCAGTGTGATAATTTTTTTGCACGGCAATCGTGTCCAAGGGCGCTTAAGTCAGATTAAAACAGGCGAAGGAAAAACGAACATTGTAGCACTGTTGGCCATCGTGAAGTGTCTTCAGGGCCACACCGTAGACGTGTTGACCAGTAGTCCCATTCTCGCACAGGAAGGCGTCGACGAAACCAGGACACTTTTGTCCGTGTTCGGTCTTACGGTCGCCACAAATAACAGGCCCACCGACGACGAGTCCAAATACACTGGAGCCTGCTATGAGGCCGACGTCCTGTACGGTACCATCGGAAACTTCCAATTCGACTATCTGAAGGAGTCTTTGGACGGAGACGACGTCCGACATAAACGTAAATTCGACATTGTCATTTTGGACGAAGTCGATTCGATGCTAATAGACAATGGTGGCCACGTTGCGAAATTGGCAAACCCCTACCCGGGAATGGAATGCCTTCGTTATGTATACTTAGAAATATGGAAAAAGTTGCACGACGCCGAAAACGAATACGTCGAGGAAACGCAGCGAGAGATCCAGAAGATCATCGACAGCTACGACGATTTGAAAGAGGCCGAAGTGCGTTACGCCGAATACGAGAAGGGTAGACTAGCGAAAGAAAGGGAAATTCTTAAAGGGAAGATTAGGGCATCCGGTCCCATAGATATGAGTTTCGTACCAGAACATCTCAAAACTTACGTATCATCCCAGTTAGAAACGCGGATGAAGAACGCCATACACGCGAAATACAGTTGCAAAGAGCACAAACAATACCGCTTCATAACAGATAAAAGCGGAGAGAAGAAAATCGCGCCGGTTGATTACCTGAACACAGGAGTGACCATGCGAAATACCATCTGGTCGAAGGGTCTCCACCAGTTCGTCCAGATAAAGCACAATCTCCAACTGACTTTCGAAACGTTAACAAGTAGTTTTGTGTCCAATATTGGTTACATAAAACTCTACAAATCAGAAAACATCTATGGCATGACAGGAACTCTCGGTTCCAGAGCCGAGCAAGAACTACTCTCTTCCATATACGACGTGGATTACGCCAAGATACCGACTTTCAGAAGGAAGAACTTCGAAGAGCTAGCCGGAATCGTC